ATGACGTTCCCATACCGGCCCATCCGCTAGCACCGGGGCTGCACGGGCTCCCAGCTCCCCCTGGAGCCCGGGGAAGTCTCCAAGATCAAACCAAACTGTCGTGGGAACCACGTTTTCCTCTCTGGAGCGAAGCCGAGCGCGAGGGATCGGCCCTTTGGCAGCGGGGGGTGGAAGGTTTGGATGTGGGATGCGGATCCTAAGGGACAAAACAGGGGGGTGGGAATATGGAGCAGAAACTCCAAACCTCTGCTGTGTGTGGAAATCCTTTTGCTCCAGGGGTCTGATGTTCCCCAGTCGTGCGTTTTTCACCGGCACGCTGAGCCCGCCTGCTCTGGCTCTGGCAGGGCCAGGAGAAAAAGCCCTTGTGGGGTTTGTGGTTTTTTTCCAAGCTCTTCCACCCCAGCCTGCTCGTTTCTTTGTAAATGTTTGTATCTATAGCTACAGAGGATGTGTACACTGTATATTTTTGGAACACAGACGTTTTGTTTGGGAAGCACAAGGGTAGAGTAAAGCAGCACTTCCTATTAAAGGAACCAATTTAAGAAGCATTGGAACAAATCTGCCATTTCTCTGTCAAACAGTTAGAAGAATGAGAATTAAAACAGCTAAGAATTTTTTATCTTTCAGTTAAATAGAAGGTCCAACTCATTAGGCCTGTGCTGGGGAGGGGACAAAACTCAGTGACCCGTTGACCTGCCAGCTGCAAAATGCCCTTCCCAGACACCTCAGTCAGTGATTCTTGAAAATTTGGGGTGAGATCTGGCGTGTTCTGTTCGTGCTGGCTGGAAAACTGGCCCAAAGGCTGGCTGTGGTGTTCAGGCCAGCTCTGGGTGGGGCACAGGGATGCGTGGAATCACCTGGGAAGGGTGGCAGAATGTGCTGCCCTTGGCACAACCACCAGCTGTGGTGTCCAGCCCCTCTGCTGTCGTGCTGGGCTTCCCTGAGCCCCCTCTGAGGGATGAGAAGCAGGAAAAAAAAGGGTTCTTTCTACTCATCAGTGGCTGTGACAAGGAGCTCTGCTGCTCTGGTCCCTGTGTGAGGCGGTTTGGGGTCTCCAGTTCCACACTGGCTGCAAAATAAGGACAAATTAGGTGGAAGATGGGAAAGTCTGATGTGAATGAAACAGCTGGAAAGGGAAGGTTAATAATAATAATAATATAATAATAATAATGGAATAGTTAGAGTTTGAAGGCACCTCTGGATTTCACCTAGTCTGACCCCCAGATTATATAGTAGTAGTAATAATAATAATAATAGTAATAATTCTTTCTGGCTATTAATTATATTATTATTATTATAATTAAAAAGAAATAAATATGCTCTAGATTTTGGTCAGCCAGTTGGCCTTGGTAAGCATTGTAGGTCCTTTCCGACTGAAACATCCTGTCTCAACTCACTTTGTAGAGCTTCGACAACCAGGGAAAACCCTTAAACACTCCTAAATTCAGAATTAGAGCAGTTAATGTCGCCAAGTCCCGGCACTGTGAGAAGCCTCCTGGCTCCTTCTCCATTGCAGGACGGAGGGAAAACTTCCGGCCAGGTGACACAGGAGCGTGACGCAGCCCCACCTCCCCTTTCGCGAGTGCGTGCGCTCATGGACCCCGTCAATTAACAGCGCCTTTAATTACGAGCCGCCCGCGTGGCCTCAGGGGACCGGCGCTGCCCGCTCTGCGCCTGCGCCGCCCCAGCGCTCACGCGCGGCGGCGGCAGCCAATGGGGAGGCGCGTTACTGCGCGGTGCCCCGGCCGAGGAAGTGGCGGCCGTGCCCGAGTGCCCCGGCCCCGAGTGCGGCCCCGCTCCGGGATGTGCTGAGGGCGCGCCCGCCGCCCCTCCCAGGTGAGCCACGAGCGGTCCGGGGGGGTCCCCGTGGCGTGGCGGGGCGGCCGGGCCGGGGTTGTCACGGCGGCTGCGCCCGGGCCGGGCCCGTCCGGTCGCCATGGCAACGCCGCCCCTTGCCCGCCGCTAGGCCGCGGAGCCCGCGGGGTGCGCTCCGGCCCCGCCCGCTAACGGAGAGCCCCTCGCCTGTGTCCCGCCCCGTTCCCCGCGGCACGGCCGGGAATGTGGCGTGCGCGGCGGGATCCCGCTGCTTCCCCGCGGGGGGGAGGGAGCTGCTCGGGCTGCTTTGGACACGGGCTGGCGGCCGGGGGGTTTGCGGGGCGCGTGTTGAGTTTTTTAAAGTGTAACTAGGCAGGCTGAGCCTTTAGCGTTGCCCCCGAGGGCTCCCGGCACGGCGGCAGGAGCGTTTCCAGCGGGCTCTGCGGGGTGGGATGTCCCTGCCTGGAAACAGCACCCCCGTCCTGGAGGCTGCTGTGCTGGGAGCGCTGCTGTTCCCACGTCCCGCCACTGACCGGGATCCTCAGGCACCGGGTTATTGGCACGTCGCGCTGCGAGCTGCTCGGGTGTTTGGTTGTGTTGGCCGTGCTGGGTTTGAGCTCGGCCTGCCCTGGCTCTCTTGTGCCGCAGCCGCTCCCAGCCCGTGCCGGCTGATCTCGGAGATCCTTCCCCTCCCGTCTCGGTGTCTGGCTCTTTGCTGACACGTACGCAGAGGCGTTAAATCTCTGTCCCCTGCTCAGACCGGACTTCCTAGATGCGTGTTTTCCCCTCTCTGTTTGTTTTGATAGTTCCCATTATCCTCCTTTGCTGCCGAGCAACGAATGTTCTCGGGGAGCTCGCTGTGAGAACGTGGATGGGTTTCCCCCTTGCAGGGGTTCACACGAGTTGGAAATGTTTGCCCCTCTCCTTTCTCTTTTTTATCTACCAGCTCACAGATTTATCTGTCTCTGGGCATTGTAAGAGCTTTCTACACCTGTCAGCATCTTCAGTTTTACCGTCCTGGAGATCTGTGCCTTATCGCAAAGGATGATCAGCCAGTTTTGTTGCAGATCTGTTCCCTCTTCTTCCATCTCGTTATGAATTTATTGAACAGGTCATAGCTGGAATCTCCTTTCACTGTGGATTCATGCTAGATTGGTTTAATGTAATTAATTATCTTAACTAACTTCTCTAATGTGCCACAGACTCCCCTTAGCCCAGCTTAGCTTCCTCAGGAGCCCTTTTGAAGGACTCTTGTGGGTGGCAGTGTTTGGGGAGCACTGGTGCGTGGTGTTTTCAGACAAACCAGTTGTCTGGGTGAATAAACTCCAGCAGGTGCCTCACAAGGGAGGTGGGGAAAACAAACAAACAACAAAAAAACCCAACAGAAAACCCCCCAACTGGTGGCTCTGTCCCAGTGTGAACTCTTCATTTATTTACAAGATAGGACTGAGCAGCCTCGCCCCCCTTAGAAGCAGGGACAGGTTCCAGGCTTGTAAAGCAGAAGGGTTTATCTTGCAGCTTGAAAAGTATTTCTGTTGTGTCTTGTGAACTGCTTTAATCACTGTTTCTGTGCCTGGTGGTGAAAGAAGGAACAGTCAGTAGTGTGTAAGTGTTGCTCTGATAGGTCGTTTTGCTCTTTGAAGTTGCTGCTGTTTCTCTCAGCTTGTTGCTGGGTGTCCTTACAGCAGATTGACTTATGCCTGAGAGCTTGGTAGGGGACTGGCCTGTGAATGCCTCTTAAAACCTGTGCCATTCTTCATTTTCACTTCTTTTCCCTGAACCAGTGTCAATCATCCTGAGTTCAGGTCTCTGGGCTGGCCCTGGGTGTGATGAATTCAGTGGAATTCAGGAACTGGTCTTTAAGTAAAGAGCCTTTAAAGAACACGTGCATTTGTTTCTGTTAACAGAGTCTGGTGCTTCTCTCCTGTCTGGTGTTTTCTCCCCTGCTAAGGATGAGCTTTATTTACATGTGGGGGTGTTTGTTGTGAATGCAGGGGTTGGGCCAGTGCAGTCTGTCACTCAGTGAGTCAGCGCTGCTCTTGTAGCCCATCAGCTGATGGGAACTGGTCCTGCCACCCCAAAAGCCATTCCCTCACTTCCTGTCCCTTTTCCACCCCTGTGTCCCCACCCTGGCCACTCCCAGCATAATTTTTGGAGAGAGCAGGAGCAGGGGGAACTGTGGCTGCAGAGGCTGACTCTGAGTGATGGTGCTGTTGTAAATACCTGAGGAATTCCAGGTGCAGAGGCAGGGACTTCCTGGCAGAGCTGATTCAGGAATTCCCTCCAGTGACGTCTTAAGATGCTTTTAAGGAACCAACTGGGTCTTAAGCTGTTCAGAGTAACAGCAGAGAAAGTTCTGTCTTGGCTGAGCACCTTATCTACAAACCTGGAAGTCAGGCAGCATCCAAAATCATTCTCAGAGTAGGATCATTCCCATCTTCCTGCTTTTTTGTGTGTGTGTCTGATTGCTGCAAAAAGAATTAGAGCTTCATGTCTCACACTGTGTCCCCCCACCACTTTCCTCCCTGCAGAAAGGTGGGAACAGCAACTGCTCAGTTTTCCAACATTAACTTTTAATTAAGTTTTTAATTTCTCCTTTTCAACTTACTATGTGGCTGGCAGAGCAGACACCTCTGCCAGAACCCATTTTAAATGTTGCTGGCTTAAAACAGCAGCAGTGGGGATTTTGAGCTGAATCTGAGTGTCTCATGCTGGAAAAGTCACTGAGAAAGGAAAGGAAAAGGGGCCATTTTAACTCACATTTTAAATTTGGGATCTTGGAGATGTGTGAGCTCGGGACACTTGTCTGCCAACTGGGAAAGGAATGCTCTTGCCAAGCATTTTTAAAATTTATTTTATTTGAAAGCACCTCGTTTGCAGTAACCTCTGAAAAGTTCTGTGTTGGTGTGCCCTGTAAGGGTGCAGATGGAGGGACTGGGTTTTGTGTTGCTGCTCCATAATGAGAACACCGTGTAGGAAATGGGGGCAGCCTCCAATTCTGCTCTCCCGGGTTTTGCACCACACCAGGCTGATTTTCTGGCTGGTTTTTCATCACTAACAGACATTTTCTGTGTGGCTGTTTATTCTAATTTCGAAAATTACAGCAGTGTGATGAGTTGTGTGGGGGTTTTTTTTTGGTTTTTTCTTTCTTCTGGAGGAACTTGTGTATTAAATCTCCCCCCCAGCGAGGTTCCTGTTGCCGGCGTTGCCTCTATTGTGACCCTCGGGTTTGAACTCCCCTCAGTGCCACTGTCACAAAGCAGATTTTCTCTTCCCCGTCTTAACAAGAAAAGATTTACCAGCCAAACCCTCTTAGAGATTCTTGTTTGCCGTTCCCGGGAGGAATCGCTGTATCTGGGGCAGCAGGAAGCCATGCCTTGAGCGCCGTGCTTTAGAGACACTTCACTGGGGAAGCAGCTCCCGTGAAATCCGCGGCTCCGGCGATGTTGCCAGAGCTGTAGGGAGAAAGAGCAGCCTGGAAAGCAGCTCGCATGCAAAACATTAACATTCTGTGCTGCCGGGAGTCTGACGAGGCCGGCTCCAAGTGGGCAAAGGATCGGGGGTACGAGTGGCGGAGGATTGCACGAACAGTAAGTGTTTTCGTTTCGAATAAATAACCGCTGCTCGCTGCTCAGGTAGAACTGCATTTCGCCTTCTCGCTTCCCAATATCCTTTTAGGGACTGTTTCAATGCTGAGCCCTCGCGGCAGGAGGCCGGAGTGTTAATTAGGGTGATTCAGTGTGTTGGGCTTTCAGTGCTGTGCTGTGCTGAGCACACCCCGGGCCGGGCGGAGCTGGAGTCAGGGCACAAACGCCTTCCTTAGCACCGCGTTTTCAGAACTTCAGAGCTGAGGAAAAATTGTCTGAGCAGCGTGGGGGGAGCCTTTGGGAGCAGGGCTGGATGCCAGGAGGGTTTTCCCGGGCTGTGTGTGACAGTGCTGCCTCCCTGGCTGTCCAGTGTGCTCTGGCCAAGTCTTGTGGCTCTTCCAGACGAAGAGGGTTCGATATCAGATTGACTCATTTGGTGTTTGGTGAGATTCTGATTTAGCAGGGTGGTCTTCAAGGTGTGGCAGCCTGGGGGGAGGCTGTGCAGGGGCAGGTGGTTAGGGAGGGCAGTTTTCTGCACAGAAAGAAGCTCCTGTGCTGAAGGAATTTGAATAATGAGGAGCTCCAAGTGCAGGTCCCTGAGTGACCCAGGGTCCACGAGGGCTCTGAGGCTTGTGATTCTGGTAGAAATGACAGAAAAACACGGATCAAAAAGTGTCATGGAGTGCTGTAAAATCACATAATTAGCATCAGAGCCTGCTCCCAGCCACGTTATTACGTTATTTTCAGATCAAGGCACAGAGTCAGTCATTCTGTCCTAGATTTCTCTTTAAGAATCTCACTCATTCCATGCATCCCCCTCTGCTAATGTAGGGAATGAAGTGATGGCAGCTTTGGGCAGCACTCCTGTGGGATGTGATGAAGGTGCAGGGATGGAGGTGAATCCACCACTGTTCTGTTTATGACTGAGAACTCCAAGCCCTGCCGGTTTCCATGACATACTGGGAATGAGAACTGTGTCTTCTGGGGTTTGGGTGCTGCTTGTCCCAGGTGAACCCCTGTGGGATTCCTAGAAGGAGCAGGAGCATTAAATGGGATAAACAGTGTAACAAATCGCCTATAGAGGTGTGATGGTGATGCTCACATAGCACAGGGGGGCTCTTGGTGTGGCAGCACAGCTTCCAGTGGCACCTTTAGATCCAAAGGAACTTGTGTGATCCCAGGCAGGGGGAAGAGATTGGCTCCTCACTGACATTGTGTGGGCCTGAGCAACCTGACCTAAGTTGGGTTAAATCCCAAAAGATCTTTCCAACCTAATTATTTTTAACTCTGTGACCATACTTTAGGTGTAGTACCTTGGAACCGTCATTTAAATACTGGCACTATTTAAATATCTTTAAAAATTTGGCTCCTCTTGCTTTAATAATGTTACCCTAAGTCCTGGAATCGCCTCTTTGAGATTCTTAGCAATGAATTCATGATGTTTTCAAATCCAGTTGCATTTTCATTTTATTAAATGAAAGGAGCTTGGTGGCAGGGGTTGTCTGTGTCGAACATTCCCTGCGAGACCAGTAACCTAAAAACCACAGTAAGCTGAAAATGAAATGCAGCAGGGAAATCTTTGCTGCTCTGGGGAATTAGAATGGTTCAGATTGAATGGTTGAATGTAAATCAAATCCCCAGAGCCAGATGGCACAAGGTAGGGAGACTTCTAGCTGTGAAAAGTCCTACTGGAAGTGACAGTCCCCAGACAATTGCAGAGTTCATGGCTGGTTTGGGTGCTGTGGTGCGTTTTGGGGAGCTTTTAAAATTCTGTCTGGGCTTTGTTTGGTCCTGTTTCTTTACCAGTGAGACAGGACACCAGGTGGCATTAGGATTTGTTTCCTGGAAATCTTGCCTTACTGGGATTTGAGGATTGTCCACACGGGAGTTGCAAGCAAGGATTTGGTGGCCTCGCTGGAACAGCTCCTCTGGTGAGGGTTCCAGGCGTGAGGAATCCGTCTCTGTCCTGCTGTGTGTGCGTGGACACCTTCCAGGGAGCATCTGTAAAGTAAGATAGGGCCACTGTGACATGTGCATGACTGCAGTGCTGGGCACAGCCACACAGGGAAGGGTTCAGTGTCCAGCGGTGTCCCTGGGGTTCCGGCATAGCCTGTGTGTGGTGTGTACTCAGGAGGCGCCTGCAGGAGCTCAGGCTTTTCCTTCTGCGGAACAACAGCAGATAATCCTCACTAATCCAGCAGGAGTGTGCTCCAAGTAGATGCTTTGAATTCCAGGAGGTGAAAATCTTCATCCCTGTGAGGATCCACACTGTTTCATGCTGGAGGTGCTGGGAATACCAGGGTGGCTGGGTGTGTGTGTCCATGGGGACAGTGCTGCCTGAATTATGGGATCACCCACAGCCTGCCAGGGGTTGTTTTTCTTTACTCTTTCCTGCAGGTTTACTCCTTTCTGTTCAGGATTAATTGATTTCAATAACCTGTTAAGTAAAAGGGTTTTTGATGACTTTCAGTCTTAGCTTTGTTTCTGCAAATGAAGAAGATTCCCTCCCATTGGTTTTTGTGTGAACACTAAACTTGAAACCAACGCATCCCTTACTGGGAGTTATATATATGTAAACAATCCTAGGTACTATTTGTTTAACTTTAGTCTTAGATTACCTGGCTTTTATTCTGCCAGGAAATTCGGTGATTTTTGTTGCTAGATAATAAATTTTTTATTTAGGAATTTCATGAGTTCACCTGAATGGAAGCTGAAATCCAAATAAAAATTAATGAAACCAGTGTCTTGTGACAGTTCATTGTCCCACTCATTTTTACAGGCTACACAAGGCAGAAATGTTGTTAAAACACGTCTAAGAGTGCTAAACTAAGGGAAATCTTAACTTGCAGAACCACTTGGCCATGTTTTTGTGGGTATGGAAGTGCTTGAGGGATTTTCAAACACATTTAAGCAGCTGCTTGCCAAAGTCTAGTCAGCATCAGGCTTTATCCTGCATTTGAACACCCTGTTGGATTAAGAGTGTGTGGCTGCCTGCTTCTGTAGAAATAGGGTCTGATGGAGATTTTGTTATTTGTTGTTGTTTAAATACGAGAACTTCAAGAGGGAAAGAAAACTTCCTGCTCTTGAGAAAAGCCTGAGCTGAGGTTTCTTATCTGCGAAGCATCTGGTTCTAGTAAAGAAACTATCCCTGCACCTGGCTGAAAATGAGAACTGCCTGGAAGTGCTGGGGGTAGAAATGTGTCAGTGCTCAGCTCTTTGTGCTCAGTGAACAGGGATAAACAATTCCTGGAGCCTCAGCCACTGCTCGGGCTGATGCTGGGAGCCAAAGGCTCTGCTGCCTTTTAGACAGAATTGTGAAATGCTGTCCTTTAGCTCATTAAAGCCAGAGCTTACTGATGCCAAAGATTATTTTTAAATAGTAAGTTTGGGCCTTACAACATGCTTTAATTTAAAACTGTATGTCAAGTTGGCTAATTTAGTAATGTGCTTACTATTTCTGCTCATCCAACTTCCATTACTGCTAAATATTTGTCATAAGGTTCCTCTGAGCTGCCTCTGACCCTTGGGTTTGAACTCCCCACAGTGGCACTGTCACAAAGCAAATTGTGTTGCTACCTCAAAACCCGTAATTGCCCTTTTAACTTTCATCAAGCCTTGGGGTTGTATTTTACACTGATACTGGGGGCTTTATTATTATTATTTCTTTGTTTTTGTTCTCTAGTACTAAGCTGACTGTAAAAGTGATGCTGTGGTCACTGTACTGGCTGAGGGTTTTGCTCAGGATTTTGGCTGTTTCCCAGGTATCCATGGGGAGCTGTCACCTGGGTATGAAGGGGATTGACTTGCCTGGGATTTCTTGTCTCTTGGTCACAGCAGCCTCTTACTGCAGCAAGGCCTGGCCAGAGAGGAAGGGGCAGAGCTCTGCCCTTCTAAAACCCTGTGGCAGGACATAGTGCCAGGCAGATGTCCTGAATGTCCCTAAAAAGTGCTGGAGCATCCGGATGGGGTCATGGAGTGACTCCCTGCAAACACAGCCCGTCCTGGTGTCTGAATTTGAGGGGAGGGGAATTACCTAGTTCAACAAAACAGTCATGGATTACTGTTTGAAGGCTGGCTTCAGCTCCAGGATAATGTGTAATGCTTGCCCAGCTCTTTGAGAATGTAGTGCTGGATACACATGGACTAATCCTCCCAGGAATGTGTCCTGTGCTGGCTCTGCCTCTCCCGCAGTGCTCACTCTGCTCCTGGGCCCTGCCTTTTGTACTCATTAGGAAAAACAACGGGCCTGGCATGGTGGTTTCATTTCTCTCTGATTTATTAATGCTGAGAGCGTTGCCTGAGCAGGGGTGTGGCCTTACAGGAGCATTAAAACTTCGCGAGAAAAGTGCTCCTGTGGTGTGTCCCTGCTCTGAAACGGCTCAGCAAAGGGTCTGGCCAGGGTGGGAGGAGTGGCAGGGTGGGCCCGGGGTCCACACCATCAGGCAGGAGTGGTGTGGATCAGATCACCCACAGCCAGTGAACGTGCCCTTCCTTCCTTCAGGGTCCCACGGGGTAAAGCTGAAGCTTCTTAAAAGGTCACCAGGGGTTGGTGTTGAGTGTGTGCTCTGCCGTGACACGGTGCAGATTCCAAGTCCAGCCTCGGGGGACTTGAGACAATTCTAGGAGTGTAAAATGAGTTCTAAAGGCAGCAAGGAGTACTGGTTTTGTAGGTGCTTAAGCTGTTTTGAAACTGGCATCTGGACTGGTTGTGAGCGCTGTGGGCTGCTCAGTAAACATGCAGCCACAGTCCTAGAATAGGCTGGGAAATAGCTGTGATTCTTTTTAAGGAATTCTTTGGAGGAGAACGAGTGATCCACGTCAGTATTACAGATCCCTTTCTCCAGGAAATATGTGGAAGCAGTCACTGGGAGGAAAGCTGTGTCTGGGAGGATCCCTTGCTTGAAGAAACCCACCCCATTTCATCTTTTTCAAGAGCTGTTGGAGCTCTCTCAGCACTGATATTGAGTGCCAGGGACATCCCGGGATTCTGAATATCGTCGTGTTGTGCAAACTGGGAGTTGCTTTCTACCTCTCTCATCCAGTGCTGCTGCAGAAAAAAAGCTGGTTTATGTACTTTAAAAGAGAAATTTGGGGACAAAATGTGGGGTTTGTGGCTTAACCTGCTTTTTTTTTCTGAGGGGTAGAGTGGAAAAAAGGGTGTGTTTCAATATTTTTTAGGAGAGCGATCGCACAGGGTTGTGTGCTGTCAAAACACATCAAATGGGGTTCACTGCTGGGCCTGCTCCTTTTGTGCACCTTTGCCAGTCACAGAGCAACTGTATCTGACAAAGCAAGTTTAATGACTTACAATTAATTGCCACATTGTAAGTTCTGGCAATTTACAATTACAAATTTACAATTACAATTACAAAACTGGCAATTGTGACTTTGCCAGTTACAACTTTCGTGTTGAAGCTGCTCAAATGGCACATCCAGTCTGATGAGGAGTGTGTTTAAATCTGTTCCTTCTCAAGCTCTGAGCTCTAAATCAAGAGGATTGGAAAGCTGAGCATCCCTTTCACCAGGAGGGCACAGACAAACACTGCTTTGTGCAGCTTTTCCTTTATAACTCAGCATTTTGAAACCAAGATTTGAGACTCTTAAAATTGTGAAAAGTAAAAATTTCAAGTCATTTGGTTTTGTTGTTAAAGGCAGTGAGTTTGGCTTTTTTTCCTGTGCATCCTGGTCTGAGTCTTTGACCTGAGAGGGTGGAGCAAGAGAGACAAGGGAACCACCTCCTGGAGCTGCTGTGCCTTGTCGAGCTCACGTGGGGCTTTGTCCTGCCTAAAGCAGATCTCATTTCACCAGCACAGGTTGAACAAAATGAACATTTTAAAGAGCTGGAATCCTCTGCACATGTACTCTCTGGAGATGGCAGGATTGTGCAAGGGGACTTGCTAAATGCTCTTCTAGCAGCGCTTCCTTTTCAAGCTGTTTGTTCAGTTTTGTTTTAACAAAATGTTGGTCCTGCACAGACGTTTGAAGAGCTCCACGCAACATAAGGTACACTTGGCACGTTGTTGGCTGATTTAATGCAGCACCCTGAGCTCTTTTTGGAAGGACCTGTGGCCATGTGCACACCAAACTGTGCTCACAGTGAGGGATGGGCATGGATGCAGGGCTGGAGAGGTGGGGCAGGCTGAGCAGCGGGCTGGGATTATCCTGTGGGCAGCACACGGCTGCGAGTTATTTCTCGAGTGAACGTTGCCATGTTTTGCTTCATCTCTCCCGAAAATTCATTTTGCTGGGGAAAAACAGCTTTACCAGTGCCAAGATCCTGCTGGTGCTTGGAGGTGGGATCAGACCCTGTCCTCCATCGTTCCTCATGTGCCTCCTGTCCTTGCAGGCGTGAATGACAGAGGAGGTGCCCCCGACTGCACTGACGGACGTGAACCTGCGCCTGCTGTGCCACGATGACATAGACACAGTGAAACAGCTCTGTGGAGACTGGTTCCCAATAGAGTACGTCACTGGCTCGGGGGGATCTCAAACAAAGGCTGGGAGCCTGCACTGGTCCGGTTTGGAGCTGACTCCAAAGGCTCTGCAGCCATCTGGGCTGTTGCCAGGACAGCACCAGGTTCGGGATCTCCTGTGCACAGTGCTGGTGTTGCTGTAACGACCCTTTGCTGCCTGTCGTGGAGGGGCCTGAAGGCATCAGAAAGTTCCTGTGTGCAGATTTGGGCAGGAAAATGGGCTTTGGGAAAGGCTGTGAATGAGGTGGGGAAAGGGGCACACCCCCAGGGAAAAGGACAGCATCCCTGTGCTTGTGAAAGGAAGTTGTGTCCTGGAGCGTGTGCCGAGGAAACGCCCTCAGAGCCAAACCAACCCAACAGGGAGCAGCTGCTCCTGAGGGACTGTCCTGAATGTCCCAGGGGAAATGAGCAGTGCCTGCCTGTGTCCTCAGCATCACTGCTGCTCCCAAAGGTCTGGCTTAAAGCTGATCTCAGCCTGTCCTGGGTCACTTCCCCAGGCACTCCTTTGGTAAATGCCCATGACTGCAAAAGCACGGGAATGAGCAGCTTTTCTGGGGGACAGTGACAGATTTCTGGCCTAAAGCATCCTAGGAAACCACAGCTCACAGCTGTAGGCTTCAAGGGGTTATTTTCTTTAGCTTTGTTGAGAAGTCTTACAGAAGATTTAAGCAAATTGTAATCAAGATTGGATAAAATATAACAAATCAGCAAAAGCATTCATAATATTTTGAGTTTGTAGATTTCTTTTAAATGCAAGGCCGAACTCTCATTTTGAAATAAATGAGTACCCCAGCCTCCCTTTTGTATCTGCAGAAGGAGGAGGAGAGTTGGAGGCTGATGGTGTGATTTTTTAATTTTTTTTTTTTTGTTCCAACATGCAGTATTTTTTTTACACATGTATCAAATTAATGAGATCCTTACGCTTTTAGATGAGGGCAGATGGATCTTGCATTTAAAAATAACTTTGCTAAAGCTGGAATTGAAAGCTCTGGGCACTGAATGTAAACCAAAAACGTGGTTCTCTTAGCAAGGCAAGGATGCTGTTGTACCAAAGGGGGTGCAATGGCTGTTTCCAGTTGAGCATCCTGAAACATTCCCGGTTTTCCTTCCTTCCCAGGTACCCTGACTCATGGTACCGAGATATCACCTCCAACAAGAAGTTCTTTTCCCTCGCAGCCACGTACAGAGGCTCCATCGTGGGCATGATCGTGGCGGAGATCAAGAGCAGGACGAAGGTGCACAAGGAGGTACGTCCCTGCACTGAGCTCCAGTGACATCATCCACCTCTTGCCGTGGTTAACAGGGGTGGGACCTGCCTGGGGGATTTTTTCCCCCCCTTCTATTCAGATGCTTGGCCCTGAGTTAATTTAGGGAATGAAGCACGTGCTGATTCCCAGCTCACGGAGCCTGGGTGGGGGATGAACACGTGAGCCTGGTGCCTCTTCCTGCTGCAGCCTAATGGGGAGCTGAGGGATCAAATCATGCAGGTGTAATCCCAAATACCTGTGCAGGAGGCATTTAACTGTTACCTGGCAGTGTCCCTGGTGGCTGCAGGATGTGTAGCTGTGGGAGAAGAAACCTCTTCCTTTCTTACTTAAGCGCTTTCTCAGCTGTACTGGGAGAGTCACTCTGGTGACTTCCTGCAGAACCCCCTCCACTGTCACAGTCCCTGTCTGGAACCCAGAGGGGAGGTAACCAGCCTGCAAAGAGCTGGAGCTTCAGAGATAACACAGCTTGGAGGCCAGGAGAGACAACACAGGACAGCAGAGAGGGAGAGGAGGGATGGTCACTGAGCACAGTGTGGGAGAAGACCACTAAAAAAAAAGGCAGGAGCAGTGCAGAGGGTGCATAACCCCTGAAAGGCCATCAGTGTTGTGGTTAAACAATAATCCCAACATCCACAGGAGCTGAGAGCACTGAGCAGCACGGGTCTCTTCACTTCAGCTATCTGGCTTCACCTCAAAGCTCATCAGAGTCAGAAGCTGCACCTTCAGCAACTCTGACAAAAGGCTCTTGTCCCAAGCCAAGCTGGAAGCCAAGGGCTTATTCAGCCACTGCTCTGGGCAGTTGGGCTCGTGGAATGTGCTCCTTGTCCTCTGCAGCACTGCAGGGATGTCCAGCTGGCACAGCTCAGGGGGAGCCTGCAGGCCATGAGGAGCTGCTGGGTTGATGTAGACACTGATGGGTGACTCCAGAACTGGCCCTTTGAATCCTTCCTGGGAAAGGAAGCCAGTGTGTTCTGTCCCTGAGCCCCCAGGTAATGTCTGTAGTCAGGAAACACCACAATTTGTGTTCTGTGTCTGGGAAGAGATGGTTTGAAAGTAGGAATAGCCCCAAAGGAACCATGCTTAGATTTTTGAACTTCCTGTCCAAAAACTTCAGCTAAGTGTTCAGTGAAGAGAAGATTCCTGCTTTAGCCTTGTTATCAGGTGTTCCAGTACAGGATTTCTGCTTTCTCCTGTGCCTCCCCAGCTACCCTACTAAATAACCTGTCTCATTTCTACTCAGGATGGAGACATCCTAGCTTCCAATTTTCCTGTGGACACTCAAGTTGCTTACATCCTAAGTCTTGGAGTGGTGAAGGAGTTCAGAAAACATGGAATAGGTAAGATGCTGCCAAGTGACAACTGTTGCTCTCGTTTGCCAGTGGGGGTGACTGAAGGAGCTCCAGCATATCCCTGTAGGAGAGGCTCACCCCTGACTGATACCAGCAGGTGGGAAGGTGATGCACCCACATGTCCTGCCTGGTGTCAGTGCAGCTGCACTGAGAGCCTTTTACTGGTGTGGACACAGCACAATATGCAAATATTTCCAAAGAGCACAGGGCTTTGTCCATCTTGTTCCCAGGGGCCAGCTGAGCACACCAAAAACTCGCAGTCCTGCTGCTGAGACTGACTGGAAAATGTGAGAACTTCACTCTGGAGCAGGGTTTGAAATGTTTTTCTCTCATGGGTATCAGCAGCCTGATCCCTGAGGCAGAAAATAGAGCTGCTTTTAAGCTTCAACAGATAGAACAAACAGTTAGAAAATGACAAAGGGAACTGCAAAAAGAGTGTAACTTGGGCCAGGTTAGATCTCAAATGCCTGGACAAGTCAGCTCTGAATGTCTGCTGCCACATGCAGCGCTCCTGCAGCCGTTTGGAATCCTGCAGTTCAGAAAGGCTTTACCTCTGCCTAGAGCAGGGTGTGCTCTGTCACCAAATGCTGCCCTTCTGGGGCGGATTCAGGTGGGATCTGTATCTTTGATCTGCCAGAGGGAACAGGCCAGGTTTGGCAGCGTGAGCCTGGGCTGCACACCTGGGATCTCTCTCTTCAGTGGATACAGATATAACTCATTATCTCCAAGTCCTCCCTTCTCCCCCAGGCGTGTTTGGAAAGGGACAAACTGATAGGATGCGCAAAGAGATGACCAAAGAGTCCTCAGAGAGAGCACTGTGTTCAAACCTTGCATTGAAATGCCACTGGAGAGAAATTTTCTGTACCAAGGAGAAAATAGCAGCACAGAATGATCTTCAGAGGTGATAAAGGGCTATTCTATAAAATTGTGGTGGCTTTGAGTCTCCTTTCTGTTTCCAAGGCCTCTTTTTTTTTTCCCAACTCCATCTTGCTGGAATTTTTTCCCATCAGAGTCAGTATGTCCTGCATCCATTACATCTACACAGCTTGTTACCATCCTCTCTCAAAATCTTTGAACTTGTACCTGTAGCAGCACAGCCTAAAGAAGCTGCTGCTGCTTTTTCTGAGACCTTTCTTTTGAGAGTTTTTCTACTGGTGTTTGAAGCTGAAGCCTTTCATGCAGTTTGCTCTTCACCCCAGGCATGCTGCTGAGCACTAAAGCTCTAATTTTTCTCTGGAAGACAGTGAAAGATTTTGATTTCTAGTTCTCTGCTATTCTTAAACCGGAGGGCAGCTGGATTTCTGTGAGGTTTCAAGACCGGAATGTGCCATAACTAAACTGAACTGCTCTATTGTTGACGTCTCTCGGTGTCTTTTTGGGTTTGGCTGATAAAAATTCTCATTAAGTATCAAATGACTGTGAAGTCAGTGCTGTTGACTTCTGCCCTGAAATGCTGGAAGCTGTGCAGGCCCTGGGGATTGTGAAAGAGCAGCAGCCACCTCACCTGTGTGTATTAGTCAGGCTGATCCTTTAGCCTGGTGTTACCACACCTGAGGGGAGAAGTTCCCAGGCAGGTTCTGCTGGGTCCACCACGCCGTGTTGAGGTGGTGTGGATGAACCTCCAGGTCTTGTCTCTTGGGGCTGGAGTATCCTCTGTGCCCTCCTCTGGTTTTTCCTGCTGGCTGCACCAAATCCAGGTTGAATGAGACTGTGCCTCTGCTCTCTTCCTTAGAAGGGATCTTCAAAACCCACCAGTTCTTAGATTTTGAGTTCGGCAGACACGGGGCAATAACCTGCTTGTGGAGCTCTCTTTTGACACTCTGCTGTTTTAAATGGCTTTAGAATAAATAAATGGATGGGGTGAAACTGATACCATTGAAAATGACTTCCCAAAGCTGGGAGCTGCTCCACTGGGGATGGGTGACATTGTCATGGTAAGTCCCATGTCTGGCTCATCCTTCTGGTTCTTGAGTCAGAGGTCTGTGCCTTTAAGATCTCTGGTTTTCAAAGCCATGCTTATAGGTGAGATGAAATTCACATTAAAACCATCTAGCATGGTCCTCTGAGAACTGTGTGGGATTTGGGGCCCCCAGGGATGTGCAGCAATCCCTGCCCCATGAGCCCTCATGCTGAGGAAGGCTCCACGCTGTGATCCTGCTGCTCTTCCCTTCCATAGGTTCACTCTTGCTGGAGAGTTTGAAGGACCACATCTCCACCACTGCCCAGGACCACTGCAAAGCCATCTACCTGCACGTCCTCACCACCAACAACACAGCAATAAACTTCTATGAAAACAGAGACTTTAAACAGCACCACTATCTCCCCTATTACTATTCCATCAGAGGGGTCCTCAAAGATGGCTTCACCTACGTCCTCTACATCAACGGCGGGCACCCACCCTGGACAATCTTATATCCTTTACCTGCTGAGCACAGGCCAAGCCATGTTTGGGGTTGACAACAGCAACCCACCAGAGTGTGGGGACTGCTGCCTGCTCAGAGGGGATTTAACCTGAAGCTGGAAGGGAGGTGATGATAGAGGGATCTGACAGTGATCCACGTGTCCCCAAGCTCCCCTAACTCCTCTGGGAACAGTTCAGGGAGTCAGTGTAGGATTTCTGGAGCAATTTTGATGCCAGTGATAGTGAATGCTGGTGTTAGGCCAAAGTGCTGGGCACTCTTTGGCTTGTGGGGTGCAGGATTTGGCCTGCATGGAACATGGCAGAGAAACCACTGGTCTTGCTTCCTGTAACTTGGGATCCCCTGCGAGCCTGGCCTGGATCTCAGCAGGCTGCTCTCACAATGACTTAGGGAGTTTGTTTCAGGTCACCAAATCATGGAAAGAAACTCAGTCTTTCCCAGCTGTAGCTGGTCAATCCCAGCCTCTCGGGACAGGGGGATGGATTGTCATTCCCACAGGAACTTGCCATGGAAAGCAAAGAGAACTGGCAGCTGCTTAGAGGAGGTATTTCCCACACAATTGGAGCCAGCATTCCCAAACTGCCATCTTTAACAGGGGAGAACAGACCTGCTTTTGATAGACAGGTGGTGGCAATGAATGCAGGGAGCAGATCTGAGCGAGCAGAGCAGCTTCCACTGCACACGGAGTGATTCCACCTACGTCACCTTCTTAAGTCATAGTGCAACTGTTTTTTGTCCTTAACTGGTGGCCACTGACTACCTACAGCACATTGGATCCACACTAGCCAGCCTGAGCCCGTGCTCCATTCCCCAGAGGATATACCGGCAAGCCCAGAGCCTCCTGTGCAGCCTCCTGCCCTGGTCTGGCATCTCTGCCAAGAGCGGCATCGAGTACAGCCGGACGATGTGACCGCGGGGTGTGCGGGGAGCCCAGGTGGGTACTGGGACAGCCCCTCCCTGCCCCATGGCCACAGCCCTGGAGAGGGAGCACCCTGCTGCTGGGGAGTGCCTGGGCAGCGCTGTGCTCCGGCCTCCAGCCAGTGGCCAAAAACTCCTCCTGGTTTCATTTGAAGGGAATTCGCATTCTGATCGTGTTTACTTGAGCCCAGAGCCCAACAGAAGGTGGAATGTGCTGTCCTTCTCCTTTTCCCAGATATTGGAGCAGCGTGCAAGACCCTCAGAGACTGAGCCCTCAGTGTCCCAGCCCAGGAACTGGAAGCCCATTTGCTGCCAGTGCCATTGCATGTCCCTGACATTCCCAGCACTGTGGCTCCCCTGCACGCTTGGAGAGACCTGTCATTAACACCTGCTTTCCCTACAACACCTGCCCTCTTTTCTTTCCATAGGATCGTTCCTCCTTCCACGTGGCCCACCCGGCTCTGCGCTGGCTCCAGTGATGACAGCTCTTGGCCAGTGACCCAGCCCCTGGGCGGGACCCCTGTTCCACAGGGACTGACATTGGGCAACTTCACCCTGGGGCTCAGCCCCGACCCCCGTGGGCTGGGGCGAGCCTGGGTGTCCATCACCACTCCGTGTGCATGTTGCACTGTCCCCACCACCTCCCTCGCCTCCAGTTTGCCCCTTCCATACACGTGGGTTCAGCTGCTGCTCCCGCCGCTCCCAGAGCAGCTGAGGGAGGGTCAGGAACGTGCACTGAGGAACCACTGAAGGGCTGGCAGGGGAGAGGGGGAGAGTCGTGCCCTTGGTGCTGGGGAAAGGGGGAGTGAGAATCATGGTTTGGTCCTCCCACACCAGCTGCTCATGTTTCCTGTGGGTAACCTGCAGGGAGGGTAACTGCCTCACATGAGGAACTACCCAGCCCCACCAGCCCTCTGGAGTGACGTACAAAGAAGTGTAGAATTCGGGATGCATTGAGTAGAAGGCAGGGAATGAAATTGCTATTTCATAGTGAAATATATATGTATTATAGTGTATAGATCTTTCTGCCTCTGTCCGAGTTGGAATGTAGCAGGGGAGGGGAGCTGGGGGTGTAGAGTCTAGTCCAGAGCCCGTCTCCTCCCCTGTGTGTGCCCTCCCTTGGCACTGGGCTCTTGCAGGATCTGGAGTGATGGAATCTGTACACGGATCACAACAGCTTTTCCTTGCAGAGGAAGGTGCCCCCAGCTGCTCGCTGTGGTGGTCTGGGCTGTGCTGGGCTGTCCTGGCTGCAGGACCCCTCTGGCTGGGGCCAGCTGAGCCTCTGCTCACTGGCAGCTCATGTCCAGCCTGTGTGGAGGGCCCAGAGCTGCAGCCAGGCCCTGGGCCCTGCTACATTCCCATGCAAATCCTCCTGCCCTGGCTGAGGCTCTTGCCCTGCTCAGACCGCGTTCCTCACTCCCCTCCCATTGTGTCACTGGAGCAGAGGGGTCCAAGCTCCGTCTGTGCAGGGCCTGGATGTGCTGGCACTGCCAGCTCTGGCAGGGGCTGGGCAGGACCTGGGGGTGACTCTACAGGTCAGGCTGGGTGTTAGAAGGCCTTGCAGACTGGATGGCCACAGAAAGCCATGGCAGTGTCTGAGCCCTGGGGCTGGGAGGTCATTAATCAAAGAGCACAGGAGGGGAGGGCCCTGGACAGGAGGAAGGCCCAGGGGCTGGCATGGACCTTCTGGGAGCAGCACAAGGCTCTTCTGGGAGGTGCTGGTCCTTCTGGGGCTCAGAGGCGTAGCTCAATGACTGATACAAGGTAAAAAAGTGTTTATGAGTCAAGCTGGTGTCAGTGGCACTGGGCAGGCACCTCCTCCCCCGGCCCAGCTGCCCACAGCAGCAGAAGGGGCAGGGGCACAGTGACCCCTTCCAGCCCCAGTGCTTTCCCAGGGCCCCTGATGCTCCTTCCAGCCTCAGTTCCACAACACCCTCAGCTGTGTTACCACTTTTCAGTCTGGGGTATTTTCACTTATCCACTTTTTACTTAAGCACATCTGTTGGTTTAGAGGTTCTTTAGCAGCCCAGGCCCTTGGTTTTCCTCAGCATTTGCCTTTTCTGGACCAGAATGAAGCTCGTTGTCTCCTGAGTGCCTGGCACTGAAGTGTGTGTGTGTCCCTTTCCTCTCCTCCCCCTACATGACCCCACTCCACTGCTGCAGCACTGGAGCACATCCCCAGGGGAGCTGTGACTGGTCTGTGCCCTCCTGCCACCCTGTCCCGAGGCATTAGCCCTGTCCCCACTTTGCAGCCCAGTATTTATTGAAGAGCCTCTCGCTAAATATCTTCAATTAAACCAAACCTCTTTTCTGAGTTGTCTGTCCCTGCACAGGAACCAACTGACTGCTCTGGCCCCCACCTTGTGCTGGGGGATGCCCACAGACCCTCCTCACGGGGGCTGGGGGGATCCTGGGGGAGCTGCTGCCATGCCAAGACAGGGATCAGCTTGGAGCAGGCAGAGAGGGGGACAGGGCAGAGGGAGCAGCTCCTCCAGCACCGAGCCTGCCCTTCCAGCGGTGGGTGGAGGATTCTCCTGAGCCCCACAGGGACTGGGGTTCCTTGCTGGCTGCCCCACATCTCAGCTGGGACAAAGGCCCCTCAGGCACAGCCAGTGCCCAGGAGGTGCTTCAGCATCTGCAGTGGCACAAATGGCTCCTCCCAGGCTCCTGCCTGGAGCCCTGGGGTGCATGAGCCAGTCTGGACTAACCCAAAAACTCAACAGCTGCAGCAGAGGTACCCCACAGCCCCCTGATCCAAGGGGCTGCCACCAGCAGCCTTGTCCTTTGCCTCTGGCCCTGGCACAGTCCAGAGGACGAACCCTTGTGGCAGCAGGAGCTGATGGATGCTGTTCCCTCCCACCCCTGCCTTCCCCATCCCAAGCTTTGGGTCCCCCAGGCTCAGCCTCAGCCTTCAAGAACGATCCCAAGTGCTAAACTTTCAGCAAAGCCATTTATTCCACTTTCCTGCTCCCACAGATCTCCAGGTAGGGCCCCACATGAGCACCCCTAACGCCCCAGAGGGAATTCATGGCACAGCTGCTGTGTTGCACCGGCACCCTGAGCGGGGCCTGGTCGCTGACATGGGCAGAGGTGCCTGACCAGCAGCCCCGTCCCTCAGCTGTGCCCATTGCCAGCAGCCAAGTCAACACGGGGCATTTAAAAAATCAGATGTTTTGTTCCTTAAAAACGAAAGGGGGACCTGACAGCAGCAGCGTGTCCCTGAAATCAAAGCATAATTCTAAGGCTCCGGCGCCCTCACGTAAGCACATGAACTCTCTGCAGGGGCTGTGCAGGTTGATCTGGGAAGCTCGCTAAGAGTTTAATGGCCATAAAAATAAATCGCTTTTCCCTGCTTCAGACAAACCCAGACCCTCCCGGCTGGGCAGTGGGGTCGCGTGGGCAGCCACTGCAGCCCCGGGTCGGAAAGGTAGAAGTCTCTCGGCTCACCCACTTTTACTGGAGCGCACACACGGTGGGGTCACTCCATCGCCTCGCCCACCGGCTGCTCTGCCATGGCATCGGCCCCCAGCCCCGCCGGCTGCTCCAGCGCCTCTGCCCCCGCCAGCTGCTCCGCCAGGGCCTGGCCCTCCAGCCCCGCCAGCTGCTCGGCCCCCGCCTGCACCGCGCCCGGGTGCTCCGCCCGCTCCGCCAGCTCGTTGCCCGCTTTGCCCAGCTCGTTGCCCGCCTTGTGGCCGTGCAGGTGTCCCGCCGCCCCTCCCGCGTGATCGATGGCCACCTTCTTCGGCTTCTGCGTGGCGGCCACCGCCTCGGCCAGCTTCTCCTCCGGCACCATGTTCAGGATCTTCAGGGCGAACAGCAGCTGGAACTTGGCTGTTCCAACGAAGGAGTTGGCCAGGAAGTTGGGCAGCCCGCCCATGCGGTCCTTCTGGGTGTAGAGGGGGACCCGGACCATGCCCATCACCTGCAAAGGCACAGGGCACAGCTCAGCAGGGCCACGGCAGCACCAGCCCCCCCTCCCCGCACCCCTCTGTCCCGACACCCTCACCCAGTGCCCGCCAGCCCACGGCCCAGGCCCGCTGCCAGGTCCTGCCTTCCCTCCACACCGGCCCCTGCCCTTCCCTGCCCTCAGCCCAGCTCAGCCCCAGTGCTGCCCCTTCCCGAGCTCCCCGCCAAGGCCCTGCTCTCCCTGCCCAGCCCTCTATCCCAGCCCTGGCTCGGTTCCCCCATCCTGCCCCTTTGGGGGGGATCCCGCTGCCCCAGGCCACTACGGGGAGTCTCCCTTCCCCCTCCAGCCCCTGCCCCGTGTGGGGACACCACAGCTGCCCCGTGTCCCCTCGCCCAGGCCACAACCCAGTGCCCTCTGGCTCTGCTCACGCGGCTGTGACACCCACCGAGCGCCCGGGGGCGCAGGGGGAGGCCCTGGGTGTCTCACACTGCCCCGGGGCTTCAGCCACACTCAGCTGCCCGGGAGGAGGAAGAGGAGGAGGAGGAGGAGGAGGAAGGTGCCCCTGCACGACCCCCATGTGGGCCGGGGAGGACTCAGCTCACAGCGACATCACCACACCGCGGTCACGGTCCAGTCCGGGCACTCAGCCCAGGGCAGGGGGATCCCCCCCAGCTGCAAACGGCTCTCGGCCACATCCCTTGGCCGAGGGTCACACGGGCTCCTCCCTGCACGGGCAGGCCCCGGGAAAGGCTGGAGCCGGAGCTCCCTGCGCTCCGGAGCCCGCGGCGCGACCCGGCCGGCTCCTATCGCCGATGCCTCGGGCGGTGCTGGCACCGGCCCCGGCAGCTCTACCTGCGGTGCATTCCCCGGCCGGGCTGGCCAGGGCCGCCCGGCAGACCCAGGAGGAAGCGGCGCCTTCCCTGGGCTAAGTGAGAGCTCGCACACCCCTCCCGGGTGTCCCACCTCCATCCCGTGGTCTCGGGAATGCACCGCGCTGATCTCGATGGTGTGCAGCTCCTCCAGGGTGAGCTGCCTGGCGTAGAAGTGCGCGACCACGCGGTGTGGCCCCTCTGTCAGGTGCGAGCACAGATAGTCAGCTTCCGTCAGGCGCACACAGCCCAAACCCAAGCCCAGCACCCGATTCAGACCGTCCTCCAGGGACCAGTAACGGCGATCCACGAACCCCCCGGGAAAGCCCAGCAGTCCGTCAAATCGCATCTGCATCTGCAATAGAGGCGCAGGGTGTTAATGGGGCACGGCGGGGCCCCCGCCGGGGGGCGAGGGGGGGCCGAGGAGCCTCCGGAGGAGCCGGAGAAACGCGGGGGGCGCTCCGGGGCGGCCCTTCCAGCTCCGGCGCATCCAGGACCGCTCAGCGACGCCGGCCCGGCTCTCCGCACCGCCCGCGGGCCCGGGCTCGGGCCCTCCCTGACGCTACCGCCCTGCTCGGATCCCCCGCGGAGCCGCCCCCTCACCCGCCGCCCCCGCACCCGCGGCCCGGCCCAGCCCCGTCCGCCCCGGCCCGGCCCGAGGGCCCTCCCGGCCCCGCTCCCGACCCCGGCCCCGCTCCAGGCACGGCCCCGCTCCCGGCCCGGCCCCGCCCGGCCCTCACCAGCACGGCGTAGCGCAGCGGGATGCGGCCGAACAGCATGCCCGGGTTGGGCGCGTACAGCATCGCGTGGCACGAGTGGCTCCAGCCGGGCCCGAGCCGCATGGCCTCGTAGCGCGTGAGCGGCTTGAGCTCAGGCACGCCGGGCACGCCGAGCGTGGGCAGCGGCGGCAGCGCGCCCATGGCGGGCAGCGGGCCCATGGCCGCCATCGTCCCCACGGCCGCCATCGCCTCGCGCCACCGCCGCCCGCTCCGCGCACGCGCCGCGCCCGCCGCGCCCGCCCGCGCCCGGCCAATGGCGGGGCCAATGGGCGCCGGCGGGGCCCGCCAATCGCCGCGCGCGCACGGGCGGGGCGGGGCGGGCGGCGCGCGGGCACCGGGGAGGGCGGGCGCGGCTGCGCGCGCCGAGCGCCACAGAGAGCCAATCGCGGCCCAGAGCGGGGGGAAGGGACGGCGAGGGGCACGACGGGAACGTGGCGGGGCACGGAACGGAGGACCCGCCCACAGCGCCCTGGCCCCGCCCCAGCCATGGACACGCCCCCGCCGCGCGCAGGCCCCGCCCTGCTGCTCCCGGTCCCGCCCCTCAGCCACCGGCCCCGCCCCCATCCCAAGACCACGCCCCCGCAGCCCCCGGTACCGCCCGGGCCCCCCAATCCCCCCGTTCCCCGCCCTGTTCCCCCCTGCACTCGGAGTCTGGCGGGGCTGCTCCACGTGTTTATTCCTACAAACATAGACGGGAGGTGGGGGGGACGCGCCCCGGGCCCCCCCGCAGAAGCAGAACAAGGCACACGGCGTGGGCAGCGCCGGGCCCTGCGGGACGGGCCGGGGGGGACCCCGCGGCCCCCGCTCCCCGCGGCCCGGCACGGCGGGGAGGCCACGGCTCTGTCTGTACAGGGGCAGTGACAGCAAAGGGCTGTGCTCGCTGTGTACAAAATATACATCGGTAGTGTCCGTCCTTCATCTGCCCGTCGGAACCCAACGCCCCGCCCGGCCCCACGGACACCGCCCACGGGAAACACGGCCCCATCCCGACCCACCGCCAGGGAACATGCACGGGCTGTGCCGGGACCGTGTCCGGGGGTAGCGGGCAGGGCCGGGCGGCTCCGGCAGGGCCCGGCCCCGCTCACGGGAGGCCCTGCTCGTCCTCCAGGTGCAGACGGGTCTGCTCGAAGAGAAGGGGCTGCACGGGGCTGCCGGTGCCGCGCACGGGGAGCGTCTTGGTGTAGTCGGATGAGCCTGCGAGAGGAGAAGGGGGTTCAGCCTCGGAAACGAGAGCCCTGGGGGCAGAGGAAGGGGCTGGCAGAGGGATCGGCCAAACCCTCCTCCCCTGGGCTGGCCAAGGGAGACGGGGCTGGAGCCAAGAGCTCCATCCCCTCCAGTGCAGGCTCAGCATCGGGGTGGGACACAGGACACTAAGGGGACAACACGCCCTCTGTCACCAGCCTGGGGACACCAGCACGGTGTTCACGGTGCCCATGAGGCAGCAGAAGCCAGTGGGAAGGGCAGGGGTTTCTGCTGCCCTGCCTGGGGTCCAGGCACACAGGGACAGAAGGGATGCTGGTGCCAGGACTGGGAATGGACCCAGGACAGAGCCTGGCTGGTTTGCTGCCCCTTCCTTCCCTGCCCCATGGCCAGGACCAGCCCCATTCCACACTCCCAGGAGGGGTCCTGCTGCCCCTCACAACAGTAAAGAAGAATGAGAAGACATACCAGCTTACTCCTCTATACCAACAGAGCAGGAATCAGGACCCAGTGCTGCCCAAGACAGGAGGGAGGAAGGCAGACAGAGAGGGAAGGAGAC